TTGGACATTTAACCCCAAAACATCTGAAACTGAAGAATTTGTTTCCTTTGTTTCCTACTGTATCTCAGCCCTTTGAACGTCTTGCTGGATGCCTTTATAAGATAACAACTGTAAATTGCATTGCTTATCCAAGCAGATGGCGGCTGCTGACACTGGTGTGTTTGGGAATATTCTGCTGGGTTTATCAAACACAGTGCTAATGAGGCATTTGGAACGCGCTGCTATGACAAATTAGAATTAGAAAACTATATCTTATGTACTGGAAAAAGTTCCAGTTGGCAAGCCTCATGTCACTCTGTTTTATACAATTTGTAAAAACAACCTTGAGCTACAAGTTTGATTTAAAAAGTTTAGTGTTCTTACGCCAAAATTCGATAAGGCAATTCCTTTACGAAAAATACACTTAAAGATTTCTCTAACTACAAATACATTAAAAGAGACAAAGTTTATTTTATTAAAACATTCTAACATTTTAAATCAAACAAAAGACACCTGTCCATGTGCCTGCGTCCATCCAGGAAAATACAAGTTTTTAAAAGGGAAAAATCAGAATTTCCCTCTACTTCCCAGGGAGAAGGCACTGCCCTGCTGAAATAATTTGATCACTGGCTGTCAAACCTTTCTTTATTATTATCACTGAAAATGTTATCTACAGTATATAGAATTGGTGTACTGCACACACCTAAAGTTTTCTCTCTACTATATCCTTGACCACCAATGAGCTGTCTGTATTTGCAAGTTTGTATTTGTAATTTTCCACAGTTTGGGTGACATTCATCAATGGCTTTTTCACTTGTTGTGTTCTTCCTGTGTCAGCGAGCTAAATAGGAAGCCTGTTAATTTTGTGGCTAAATTTAGCGTCAGCTTCCTTTTAATGTTAAAAAATATATTGACCTTCCCTGAAGGCTGGAAGGTTGCAAAATTTTTCTTTTCTTCAGTAAATCACATTCTGAACTTGTTTCAGAACTCCACGGACGTATTTGTAGAAGTTGTATTGTACAAATATTTAACTATAAATATTATATCTATATTTATTATATAAATAATACATATTTATATTTAACTGAAAATGTTCTCACACATCTTTTTTTACAATCAAACAAATTTTGATTTCCATGTCATTAGTAACACATACAAGCAGACTTGTGAGCTTACCTGTCTCCTGCTAGTGCAGCATGCTAAGATGGTTGCACAAGTTCTAACTCATTCATTGTTGCTGCTTGCTAGAGCAAAAAATTCACACTGCCCTGGGTAAAACCGCTAACTTTGGGCTACCCCTAACAAAGTCTCTTTCAGGAGAACCAAAGTGCAAACGTAAAAAAAAAAGAAAAAATTAAGAAGTTACTGACTGAATCATTGAGAAATGTTCATTACAGAAAGGAACTAGGACATCTGTGACTGTAGAATTCTTAAACTTAAATAAACTCCAGGAAGACTTTGAGTTAAAAAATGTATTCCATCCAATACAAGGTCACAAGTAGAACAAGAACATATCCCAGCAAGCAAAACGCACAAGGCAGGATACACTTTGGATGGGACACCAGTCCATCGCATGGCACACACAGCTGTAGAATGTTTAAAATAGCTCTTCAACCTCTCAGAATGAGGAGACATTAGCAATGACCAGACACAAGGCAGGTCTCAGGGACACATATGGACTCCTGACTTTGAATGTCCACAACATCTCTAGCTGAAACTGAAGGCATCATTAGCAGCTGACACTAGCGTTCTTGGATTCTGATAGAGTTGAATTCAATTCAAAATACTTTATTCATCCCCAGGGGAGCAATTTCACCACAAGAAAAGAAACACACAAGGTGTTTTAAAAGTGTATACAAAAAATGTGTATATAATCCATCTGTTTTGCAATTATTGTATTGCATTTAAATTGTATCACAAAAATGTCCTCATTTTGTCCTCATTCCTCAATTGTTTCGCTAACAGTAATGTAAGGTTACATCATTGCTTGAGCTCTGGCCTGATGGGTTTATTTCAAAGTGGAGCACGAAAGGAGTTATGAGAAAACAATGTTTGATCACAAGACTACAACGTGAGATAATTAGCTGTAGAGGCTAACATACTCTATTCCCACCTTTGAGTGTTTTAAAAAATGTATTTGTTTTACAACAGGGGGAAGAGGGGACAATGTACCTGTTTGTCTACTGTAAGATCCACAAATGGGTTCGGGCTGGTCAAACCAGACCAGATGATCAGTGAAAATCCAGAGCTTTAAACACTCTCCAGGCATAAACAAAAAACAGATACTTTTTAATTTAATATTGCTAATATGAATCATACATTTCTAATTATTAATGGCCTTCTCATTGTATTTTCAGCTGCTAAATTTCACATTCCTACCTCTGCATATCAGTTAGCCCACTTTCTCAAAGCAGTACACATATAGTACCTCAATGCCTATCATTACACCTCTGGCCCTTACTTTCCCCAAGGAACCCAACATCACCAGTTGCCTTATATATCAGTGAAAAACGCAGGGGACTGGCTGCTTAAAAAAAAAAACAGACGAGAGAGCAGATTGTTAATTGCAAGGCGATAGAGATAGAGATCAGTCTCCATGGGCGACAACTGGTCGCGTCGGTAGGTCTCACTGCCACCCAGTCTGGACAACCAGTGTGGTGTTCTGTGAAGGGGGGGGATGCTTATTTAGACTCCAGACACCATATTTAGTAGGGAAATTCTTTTTTTTCCCAAACTTTCTAAGAAGCCGTCGTCTCTCCCTGTCAGCCTTGTGTTGTGTTATCTGATGGTGACATAATGCCCCCGTCCAGTCTAGCTTCCTGAGGATGGAGGGCCTCTATGGCTCCTAAGCTGGATCGCTTGCTCCTTGTTCTGTCTTCTCCCCTCCCACTCTGCTAAATGCTTTGTAGTTTTCTTTTGGCCTGCGCATTTTGAACTCTGTGGGGAGGTGAAGACAGCGGCCTTGTGGCCAGCCAGGGAGCAAGGCTGGAGATCGGAGAGACTGACAACGTCAAGTGCCATGTTTGGTATTGGTTTTCATTCCATCGCAGACCTTAATGACTTAATTGAACCAATTAAGTGGATAAGATCCAGTCAGATCCAGGTCTTAATAGGGAGGTAATTGAAAGGTGCCCCTAAAACCTGCAGGAAATCATCACTTGAGGACCCGAGTTGCCCACCCTTGTCTTAGAGAATCACCCTAAAGCTGGGAGGAGGCAAGACAGGATTTTCCAGCAAACAGTTTTACCCCCAGGTCTACCCTAACTCAATCCATCACTCTCAGTTCCAATGTAGTCACATAGGAAGCTGAAAGCATCAGGCTGTAGTACACAGCCTCACAGTCCTGCTTCTCTGAGCCACACTGTCTTCCGGCTTACATTCTAAACGACCCCCAAAGTGATCCTTTGATTTCCGTAACCAGACGCTTTCATTGTCTTCAGGTTTTAGAAAGATATTTTGAGATGCTTGAAAAAAAATGTTCAACAACTATGCTAAATCTGCACCATGTTCAGGAGCAAAAAAGTAAATAATTTAAATAAGGTAATAGCTAGTACAGTTCATGAAGGCTCAGATTGGTAACAGAAAGCTCAGTTTAGATGATCAAATAACAACAGGTCCTGTGAACCAAAAATAGGCAGCTCTGTTTTACTAGTTAATCAAGTCCTGGAATTATAGAAAAACATTAATTGTGACTAAATTGTTCTAGTGCTCCGAGCTCAGAGCATTAATGAAAATGATTCTCAGTATGAATACTTCCAAGTAGCACAGCTAAATGGCACCGATTGCCCTAATTGGGAGAGATAAAATATATACACATTACAGATCCAAAAGACCGGAACACCGATTCAACGAGCCCAGTCATAGAGACTGAGTGTCGAGCGAGCATGAGCAGTGAGGTACGAGACTACGAGAGCATAGATATCGATGATCGAGTCACAATAATAACGCACACAGCCAAGTTGGGCCTCTCGCAGCCAGTCTCATTGCTCAATTTATCATTCTTCAATTGACGACCATGTTTGTTTTATTATTATCATATTTTTGGGGGAATTTCATTTTTTATGCGCAGTTCAGTTTCCCATGTGCGCTGGTTTCATAACCTGTGTGTGCGCGTGCACATGCGCACAGTTTAGAGGGAACATTGCTTCTGAATTGCAGATTTGGGGTGAATGTTTTCAGCCTACAGGCTTCTTGCATTGTTACAGGAAAGTGTCTGTGTAACAAGTTGTACTTCATAGATGTTGGTTATTTGATATCGAGACTGAATCATTTTTCTTCTTCACTGACACCACATTCTTTTACTTCTATTTATTCTTCATCAAATCTGTTGAAATTAAATGTTTTGTTCACGTGTCTTTATCTTTAGCACATGCAGTATCAGAGCAAAGAAAAACTAGACAATAATGTGTTTTTTTTCTCCTTCAGCTTTAACACTTTGAGGAATCCTGGAGAGAAATCTTCTGTCCCGTTATATAAGGGAGCTTTTTATATTCATATTATAACTCACTGCACAGAAAAGTCAATAAAATTTTGTAGCAAAGCAGAATAAAAACCTTTACAAACTATGAGGACCCACATTAGGGTGGCATGCTGGAGCAATGGTTAGCATTGCTGCCTCACACCGCTGGGGTCCTGGGTTCAATTGCTGGGGTCCTATCTGTGTGGAGTTTGTATGTTCTCCCTGTGTTCACATGGGTATTCACCAGGTTTTCTGGTTTCCTCCCAAAGTCCAAAGACATGCTGGTAGGTTTATTGGCTTCTGGGGAAAATGGCCCTGGTGTGAGTGTGTGTGTCACCTGTGATGGACTGGCATCCCATCCAGGGTGTATCCTGCATTGTGCCTTTTTCTTGCCGGGATCGCAACTGTACACTGTATTGGATAAAATAATTTAAAAAATGGATGGATGCAAAAGCAGATTAAAACTGTGCGGCTGCTATATAAACACCAACTACATTTTATTGTTGCCCAGTGTTGTGAGGTTTGCGAGAGAATTTAGCAGGAAGACCGCCAGCACATGTACCTGTCTGCAGCACTATGATGAGAAGGAGCAGGGTGGCTCTCTCCATGACTGAGGACTCCAGATGACTTTTCTCTACCCAGTGTCAAGAAGTTCAGGCCAACTCGTCCCCGTCTGATGACAGTGTCGCTGTGGGTTTCTGAAAGGGTCCGTGAGACAAGATTGTCCACACCAATCCAGCCTTGATGTGTCTTAAATTGCTGGGGAAGAAGACAAGGGAATTATTCCAAAACTCTTATGTGAAGATTTATGTTTCTGGGGATCTTGCAATAAAATACAAATATATAATGCCAAAATATGTCTACAAAGTATTGCTTCAATTAATGTGTAACAAAAATAGCGTGTGTTATTAATAATTTTGTGTGCAGATTTTTTATTTTCTCTACACGAGACTCTCTGGAATGTAAATTATTATTCTGTTTTACAATGAGTATGATAGGATTTTATTATGCCATACAATGCCTTATAAGAAGTACGTCTGTAATGATCAGGACCAAAAACTGCTACAGAACTCCAATTATTCCATCTGTCTAAAAAAATATATCTTTAAAAGTCTGTAAAAGTCACTACAAATATTCTATATACTGTACACAGTTCACTTCACAGGTATTTGTACAGTTTTCGTTTATGTGTTTTTTAGTTAACACACTATATATATATACTGTATAATATTTTACACACAATTTGTGTGTAGGGGAGGCATTTTGTTAATAAAACTATAAAATGTGTGTATGAGATTTTGTTTCGAATGAGAAATGTCATGCGATTCATGAAACAAAACTATAATATTGAGGATTCAGCTGAACCGAACTGTGGTTTGTATTAAATGACAATCACACTGTTAGCTAGAATTTAAAATGTTTTGTTTATTCTTCTAATTTTGTGGTTAATGTTACAGAGCCAAACAATGTACATAATTTGATGACTAGGGATGGCATAAATTACAAAAGCACTTTTTTTTTTCTACTGGCAGATTTGTCAAAGTCTGTCAAATGCACAACTACTGTATACCCTAGTAGTACACTTTTAAATTGCTTGCGTCTGAGAAAATACTGGAAATAGCCTAATTCCTTTATAAAAAGTCGGAAATTGTCCCGCTGTAAACAAAGGATATCTTGATTAACAACATTAGGAAATTAAAAAGGAGGCTAATGAACACAACAGATGTTAGGTAGCTAAGTGCACCTCAAGGATTATTTTAAGTGTTCCAGTTAACAAAAGATTAATTCTCACAGTTTATATTATAACTTCACTTTTTAAATTGTCGCATACGCATCAGAGGCGAATCTGCATTACGAAATATCTAGCTAAAGCAAAGCCTTACACAATCAGTAAATGCAAATACCCACTGTAAAACGTTACTGCACCCGAACGCATTTTTCAGCTACGCCTTTGCAAAAACTATTAACCTGTCTTTAAATTAAATAAATCATCGCATTGGAAAAGATAGTACTCAATTAATGCATTATATAAATATGATACAATGATATACTACATGCTATAAACTATAGATACAGAAAAAATATTGGCAATTCGAAAACATATCAAAATCTTTCTGAATGCTGAACTGGTGCTAACTTCGCAGAAGTTCCAAAGGGTAAAGTATTTGTACTGATATTTTGACGAAAGTTTAATTGAATCCAGATGACAACGTAAAATGTACCGTGAAAACATCTATTTACGTTCATTTTTCACTGTTATAAATGATAACAAATATATATTTGAATTCTAGGACTTTTTAGTGCACTATTTAAAAAAGGTGCAACAAAATTAGATAGCTAGAGGTGACTTTACAACAGAAATGTTTTTTCCTCATTTGTTCTCCAGTTTATGGAAACAGTAGCCTAGCTGTCTAGCACAGTACTATACCTCAGCACATAAGAATCCCAAAACAATTCTACAGAGTGTAAAATGGGTTTAGCGGTAACTCTGTGGTCAGTGACTCTTGGCCGACTTTATCCGGAAACTGTAAGGCGTCCTTTTCTTTAAATAATATTACAATGAGTGATCTGATAAGGGGAGACTATTCTTATTATATTGAGTAATGTAACGGAAAAAAATATTAACTATTTTAAAGTCGGGCAACATACAGTACTTTCTCCCAAAATAATTACAAAGTACATAGGCAAAATCAGAAAAAAAAATACTAACGAGGAATAAAGAGAAATACAGTACAGTAGCATCCAATCATTCACGTATGACTTCTAGAACCCGTCATATTTTTCAGTGTAGGGACATTTTAAAGATTTTATTTAATAAATTAAACCAATATATATATACTGTGCATGTTGTCCGTAAGAAAATGGTCAACAGAAAAAAAAATATTAGCGTACAAGAAAGGCGTCTAAAATGTAAATAAAATCTAACACGCTTCTTCGTAATTAGACTTAGCACCAGATACCGTAGGGTAACACCAGTAATGAAAGTACATCTGTTAAAATAGGGTTAGCAGTTCATAACAATGCTGACAAAGAACACGTGAAAGAAAGTAGTAAAAAGGTGATAAACTCACAGAGTAATAATGAACTCCTCTCAAAGCTTTTCAAAACCCCCGATGAATCTGTCCCACTCCTCTCAGACACTGAAAGTTAGTGAGTTTCCTTCCATACAAAGCCGAACCTTTGTACCACTCCCACCTCGGCCGGCTGAGATCCCCGTCACTCAGGCAGGCTGACAGCGGAACTAGCGAACAGGAGACGAGAAATACAGGCGGCGGCCAATCTCTTACAACCTCGGTTTGCCTGACCAGCAGAACAGCTGGTAAATTTCCAGATTTTTTACACAGTGACCTCATATGTTCATCACTGAGGCTTGCCTTATTACTGTTCAGACAGCAAAAAATAGAAAACACTGACATTCACAAAAATCGCATTTCATATAAATGCAAAATCCACAGTCAGACTTGTGATACTATACTGCACCTCAAATGGATAATATTGCCACAGTCCACTCCTTAAATAGCTGTTAATAATTTATTTAAACTTATATTCGCTGGTAAAGACACGGTGTATGTGAAACGGTTATCTGTACCCACGGGTTTTTGGTAACCTAAAAGCAACTGGAATAAAATGTTCGTTTGCTGTAACAGTCTCCTTTTCAATTTAATAATTCCTGTTTTCTAAAAAAAGCCAGCAGGCGTTTCAGACATTCTCAGAATTGTACTTATATCTTTGTTACCAGGCTTTTCTTGATAAAGTGGTATCTTTTACATAACAGAAACAGAAATTTGATGGCCTGTTTTCAAATGTTATTTGTGGAAAAACCCAACTTAAAAATACAGCAAACAAACTAATAAACAAGTTAATATATACACTTTTTAAATAATACAACGGGATGGAATTTTATATCTTATATTCAATTAATACAACTGGCAATTCATCTACAGTATAGTATTGAAAAATACTGAAAATATTGAAAAAAATATTTGAAATATATTTTTTTGCCCCAAACTCTTTCAAAAAGGCGGAAAAGGGTGAAAATAAAATGTTGTAAGCAATTGCTAAATACTGTGTGTACTTTATAGTGCTACTTATTTGCAGTTTCCAGTGACAAACGCTACACGCTCCATTACTGCAAAATATTTATTAGGTTTAGTTGCAATCAAATAATAAAAAATAGTATCTCTTATTTAACCAATTAAGTTAATTGAGATCATTTTGTCAGCCACAATGGCGAGCTGACGTTAAGCCGCACCAGGCCCTACCGGGAAAATGAACCCACGACAGTCCGGAGTCCTATACGCTTCTCAAAAACAAAACCAAGGGCCCGAAACTGACTTTGGTCCGTTTTTAACAACACGACACCCCCTTGAGGCAAAATGATGACCATACAGTCCGTACGGTTGTTTAAGGGGAATCTGCACCATAGAGAGCATGTACATAAAGTTTCGTGTTTCACTCAATTGGATCTCCTGTATTATCTGAATGCGTATCACAATCAATTGCTCCTGAGATTATTTGTCTTTCCCGAGACAAACAAGTACTTATTGTACAACAACAGTAAGAAGAAGATCAAACAAACATTTAGCAGTTTATTTTCCTTTTTACTCCAGTTTTACTCCAGGAGCTCAATAATAACAATAATAATAATTCACAGCTTTCCTGAGAATGGCTACATTATATGACAAAACTAAAACAAATAAAATTTGTTAAATAAATAAAATAAATAGATAAATAAAATTTAATTTCCTGTTTATCACAACAAGAAAAACTGAGTGTGTTTTAAAACGAATATTTAAGTCCCTGCTTCTTTATCCTAGTCCTGGAGTTCTACAGCACTGAATCATTGTGTGTTGACATTGTGGTAGGTCTTAAGTAGGTTTTCCTCTGCGATTTGCCAGTACTTCGATCCATCTGTGTTCCTATCGGTCGTGACCAGCTTCTCAGTCCATGCTGAGAAGAATGAACCGAAGGCAGGGATAGTGTTAACTAGTGATAGCATGTTATGTTTGTGTCAGATGTACAGTAATGTTTCACATTTAGGCTGAAAATGTTCCTATTTTGGCTTGTTTGACAGTGACTGCAAAAAGCTTTTGCCACATGTTTGCAATATCACTTAAATGCTTTCTTGAGAACCCATGTGGGATTTGAGAAGTTTTTAATGCTCCATTTAAGCTGCCTTGTGGAGTATTGTTAACCCACAGAACAAAACGATGCACGGGACACAAGGGACCCATGAAAAAATCCAAAAATAACCCCCCATTAACCAGAAGAGGAAAATAATCCTCTTAAAAACATAAAGGAGCACTTCACTCCTTCCTGCACAGTTCCATCTCTCCATCACCCGCAAGCTGTAATCCTTAATTACAAAATCCCCCAAAAGCACCATTTTCCAGAATCATTTCAGACTTCCAGGCATACTTCTTCCTGGAGAATGGAATAAGGAGAGAACACTCCAGCAGGGACTCCTCTTTAACTCTCTCCTGGTCACATTCCTGGCTAGTGCTACTCGTACTCTTCAAATCAGACTTGCTCTGCCTTGTTTCTCTCATCCCACACTATTACTCCAGCCTTCCCTTGAAGTGGCCAATCTTGCCTGTCACTGTCTTGACCATTCAGCCCAGGGTATCTCTAGTGTCTCAACTCTCTCGATCCCCCCTCTTGACCTCCCTACCTCTCCTCTTCTGCCAGGCTTTCTGCTCCTATTCTACATTGCAGATCTGGTTTAAAGTTGTAGCTCCAACTTTTCCAGAATCATTTCACCATTGTAGCTCCAACTTTAAACCAGATCTGCTCAGTCTCTCTACAAAGCTCGTCTGTGGTCTCACTCACACTGATACTGCACTTTGCTCAATGGCATTGGCTTTCTTTGCTGTGATCAATAATTCAGTGTTGTTAACCACTCACTGGATATTTGATGTCTCTGTGCTGTGTGATGAGCATTTCCCCTCTAACATGTGTCTCACTATTTTTTATCGTTTTCACATTGTTTTATTGCATTTTAAAGGTTTCTTTTTGTATTTACTTCACAATTTGTCAATTGTAAACAATTCGTACAATTTTACCATTTATAAATTGTAATTTTATAATGGTGTCTGTGCCACGCAAATAATAATACGTCATCCCAGCCTGAAACAGGACCCTGTCTATTGCCTTTGTCCTGTAGCCCTGTAGTGTAAGACTCCGCACCTATCTAGAATCTCGGGGTTTCTGACTGTGCAAGCAAAGCTGGGAAACCCAAAATAACCTATCCACATTTTTAAAAAATAATGCGCTACACGTTAAATGACAATTAGAAAGGTAGTGCTACAGCTTTCCTTTGCTGACGTGAACACTTCAGAACAAGCCTTAGATTGTTTCAATAACAGGAAACAATTCATGGTCTGTTTCAATGTCTGTTGAGACAAAAACATTTTCCAGTTGAGAGCATCATTAGTTTCTACAGTCCCACTTGGCCTAAACAAAAAAGCAGATTTTGAGGTTTTCAGCAGATGACCTCATTAACACCCAGCCCCCACAAAGGTAAATTTTGCCTATTATCGTGGAAAGTAGAGACAGTACAGGCCTGGTTCAGGGATTAAATCCAAGGTCGCTACTTGGGCATCGAGTCTGAAACAAATAAAACAGTAAACAGATCACATCTGTTTCCTTCAAAAGTCTTTTTTTTTTCAGGTTCCAGCACATATACAGTAGGTACCCATTTTTCTGGGCCTTTTCCAGTATGTACTGTATCTACTACTTTGGATACAAATCTGGCACTGACAGAACAAAGACAAAAAATCTGTATGAGGCCTCATAAAACCAGGTCCAGACGTGGTTTTCTTATCATTTCAAAAAATAAATTAAGATTAGAAAACATTATAACAAGTTAAAAAAAAGATGATGATCATTATTATTATGAAGCTCCGGGGACTTAAAAAGATAAGAAAGTAATAAAGGTGTGTTTGATTTTCACCTGATTTACAGCCAGACAAACAAAGGAGAGCTATAAAAACCTGCGTTCACTCAAACCTGTATAAACCCTGCCTTAAATCTCTCAATGGTCAGATTTCACCTATTGACAGCTAGTTTTAACTATTAGAGAAGCGAAAAGCTAAACTTCTGAAGTCGGTCTGAAGAATTTTTCTGTTGTTTTTCTGTTTTGTTTGGTTTCTGTGTATGTTGTTGTTTGAAAGGAAAACTTTGGATCTTTGCATGTTTAAAAGTGAATCTGATGGCTTTCCTATATTGCGGGAAGGTTTTGCTTTTGCAAATATATTTTGCTGTAAAAATGGCAGATTAGCCGTATGTGGGCTTTGAATATCGAGTTTTTATTCTGCATCGCCTGGAAAAACGGTTTTAGATAAGATGAAAGCGTGGCTGAATTGGACTTTTTAAAAGTGTTTTAAAAGCTAAATTGTCAATGTTCTTACATATAAAGATTGCTGTGACATGTTTTTATCTGACTGGTCGAATATTTGGAAAATGGGACAAAGGCTTTTTTTTCCGTGAATGGCCTTTTGTATATTGCCTTATGGTCGGTACAGTGTTATTAATATGTTAATTTTTATTTTTTTAATAGTTTCATTCTGGTGTAAACAAGTTTAATGGTAGAATTGAGAGGATATTAATTAATAATAATAATAATTGCTTACACTTATATAGCTGGACACTTTCTGGACACTCCACTCAAAGCGCTTTACAGGTAATGGGGACTCCCCTCCACCACCACCAATGTGCAGCATCCACCTGGATGATGCGACGGCAGCCATAGTGCGCCAGAACACTCACCACACATCAGCGATCAGTGGGGAGGAGAGCAGATTAATGAAGCCAATTTATAGAGGGGGATTGTTAGGAGGCCATGATTGATAAAGGCCGATGAGAAATTTGGCCAGGATGCTGGGGTACACCCCTACTCTTTTCGAGAAACGGCCTGGGATTTTTAATGACCACAGAGAGTCAGGACCTCGGTTTTACGTCTCATCCAAAGGACGGCACCTGTTTACAGTATAGTGTCCCCGTCACTACACTGGGGCATTAGGACCCACATGAGCCGCAGGGTGAGCACCCCTTGCTGGCCCCACTAACACCTCTTCCAGCAGCAACCTTAGTTTTTCCCAGGAGGTCTCCCATCCAGGTACTGACCAGGCTCACACCTGCTGAGCTTCAGTGGGTTGCCAGTTGTGAATTGCAAGGTGATATGGCTGATCACTTGTAT